ACTTGGACTCTGTAAACGAGGGATATATATTCTTCCAGCGAACACAATCTCGCTGTTAAACTAATGACTACAATTACTTCCTCTGTTTATATCACCATGCAAAGCAGCTCACCAAGACGTCACAACGATGTAGAAAAAATAACGGGTATATTTATTATCTTAAGTCTACATGAAATCTATACCCTACACAGACTAATGAAATACTATCTGTAAAATTATCTATGTAAACAAACCTCATCACTTGAGAGGGTAGGTGATGTGGACGTCGTAGAAGAAATTTTGTCCCGTAACGCTCGCCGTACTGTTGGGGGGAGAAGCGGTGGGGGGGAGATGTTCATGTTGCTGCGGTCTGTAGTCTGACCGCTAGATGTCGCTGAAAATTACACACTGTAGCTTTAAGAGGAAGTACTCCTCTTCAAACCCTTTAATCTAACTGGGTTTGACAACTTCTATTTCCCTCTTAAGATGAGTAGAGTTTGTCCAGGAATTGTAATAGTCCTAGCTTGAGCTGTTAAGACATGTGAGGGAAACAAGTATGCAGTGCCTGATATTAAACCTTTTAAATAATGAATAATTTACAGTACTGGTTCTCAAGACCGGGTTCTGGCAAACACCATAGTCAGCATAAAATGCAGTGTATGAAATACTCTTTTCTAGATAGTGTTAGCCATTTCTCATGTATGTTAGTGTGAACTCTGTGACTGAACATTGCTGTTATTCACGACAGGCTTACCTGGAATCGCCGTGTTTTAACTACATACCATCTTACAACCGTTTTGAGAACGATTTGGCTCGGTCTGCTACCTCTAGTGTGGTTTGTCAAAATGTGTTATATAACTACCTATATTTCTTGTTTTTCAAGTTACAACTGTTGTACTTTGGCTGTCAAGATCTGGTTACAATGATGCTTTGTTAGGTTTAAACCTTCTTTGAACATACACTCACCATCCGCTTTGTTAGTTACATTCGTCAAACTGCTTGTTAATGCAAATTTCTAATCAGTCAATCACATGCCAGCAACTCATTGCATCTAGACAATTATGTATTTTCAAGATGATGGGTTGCAAATAAAATCCAGCATCAGAATGAGGAAGAAAGGTGATTGAAGTGGCTTTGAACTTGGCTTGTTTGTTGGTGCTAGATGGGCTGGTTGGAGTACTTCAGAGACTGCTGATCTACTGGAATTTTCATGCACAACCATCTTCACGGTTTACAAAAAATGGTAAAAAAAAAAAAAAGATAGAAAATATTTAGTGAGCTGCATATCTGTGGGAGCAAGAATGCTTCACTGCTCAGTGAATCAAATATATGCCATAGCAACAACTTTTAGTCAGTTAGCTTTGGTCGTGTTTAGGGGAAGTTCGGACTGTGTTAAAACAGTGCTCAAGGTCACGGGTCACTCAGTGACGGATCTGAACCTCTCAAATTACATAGGCAGAACATGCGTTAGTGCCTTATATTGAATTGTAAAATCATTGAATATATCTTAAATTAGGCTAATTCTTGGGTCAAAAGTTGCAATATGTTGCTCTAAATTATTAGAATAGAATCGCATAGCTCCTTTTTAACTGCCTTTTTAACTGATTTAATCAATCTAATCTTATGAAAAGTGTTTAGATTTTGTATGACCTACTTTTTTCTTTATTATAATCTGGCATTTTTTATAAACTGTCTTACATACATCCTGGAATTACAAATTTGAAGATTTTTTCAAAGTTAACCAGACTTACTTAAGAGATGCTTTTGCTGTCAAGTGGTATTTTACAAATTCTGTCTAAAAAAATCATCACAAGGAGAGTTTGACTCCTGTTAATTACTTCACAGCAACCCTATGTTGTGCTGTGAAGTTATTGTCTCAGAAATCTTACCCTGTTGTACAGCACCACTATTATGTCTGTCACTCTTCTCTTTCACAATGCTAGATTGGTCTCCCCAGTAAATGCTGGTTGTCATTCTGAAAAAGGGAAAGTTGTCAATCTCTCTTTTTCTGAATTGATCTATAAGAAAGATTTCTATTGAAGTAAAACCTTTTGAGTTGTCATAGGACACAATGTTGCACCCTGACTTGCCAAAATTGTGGCAGAGATAGCACCCATGTAAAGTCTGTAACTGGCAGTAACAAATGTCACACTTGATATCTCATTCCAGAAATAAGCATGGAGCTGAGGTTGGTCGACATTTTTGTGTGAGAAGAAATCTGTTAATAGTAGTCTCAAGACTTCAAAATGGATATTCTGTCTTTACATGTGCATCAGTGTGAACAGACCTGGGACTACTAAGCTCTTTACTAAAGTTCGCGTGAAAAAGACTCAAAATAAAAAGTTAGGAACAACTATGCAACACAAATCATTGAACCTGTCTAAGAATATATAGGCTATTCTTTTTTATATAAAGTCTACACAAGTGGATTTTGAGAATAAGCTAACTAATCTAATAATCAAGATCATCCATCTTTAGTTACAGTGTTGTCCGCCTTACTGTCCAATGTATAAATAACATCTGTCAAGTGAACCCCTCCAGCTTATAAAATAATTCTGGTACTCCAGTATGCTCCACGCTACACATCTACAGATCTGCCCTGTGGTTGTCATTTAGCCACCTGGGAAAAAAATGGTTTGGAGTCACAGAAGCCAACACTACCAGGCTAGTAATATTTATCCAAAATCCTGATAAGCCCTAATTCACCTTCTAGGGCGAGTTAGTTTAGCTCATCTTAGTAAAAGACTGGAAAAAAGTGAAGACAGTGAAATGTGATATCATATGTATCTAAAAGACACATTTTATAAATTAAAACTTTAAAAGAACTGTGGAATTTACAGTAAGTGCAGCATTCTTAATATAGTTGACTGTTTGTGCAGTCTGGAGAAAAAACAAAAAAACAACAACAGACATCTCTCAGTTTGCTGTTTCATATAATGACTTCATAGTCTTTAGATTATATCAGTTTTGGCTTTTAAAAGTTCTCTTCTCCAATGTATGTTTCATTTTTTGTAAGATGTAAGAGCTCCATTTGGGCTATATTTCTTGAAGTAGAAGGCCACCTTTAAAAGGTTTTCATTACTGAAAAGGTCAGCGCTTCCAGGTGCGATACATCACAACAGCCAACTTGGATGAGCCTAAATCATGGAGGTAACAGACTACAGGTATATACAGGACCTTGGATAAAGTGGCATTAATTTTGTTTATTTTATTAATTTTTTTTATTTTGTCTCATTTAAGAATATTTACCCATGTAGTTCTTTGTGTTTACTATAGTTTTAAAGGGAGACCTGACCACTAGGGTACAGCAATAATAATTGAATAATATTAAGACAGGATCAATCATAGGCCGTCCAATGTGATTGCCCAATTTTAACTTAGCGGTGGTGAGCCTGATATAGTAGACATTTGCAAATCTTCTTTTAGAAAGTAAGCTTGTATGAGTGATGCAAAGAGCAAATTTCCAACAGAGAGTGCATGAGGAAAATGGGCTTGTGCATGCCCTTGCAGGTGTTTAATAGATGTTCCCTCACAGGAGCAGGTACAGGGTTGTGCATGTGCATTTTTTTTTTAAAGAGTGGAGAGGGCAGGTCTTTTCAAATATTCGCCAAGAACCTCCACAATCTCTTCAAACCAATCACACTAACATAAATGCATAATATCCAGGTGGGGAATAGAAGTTATACTATTCAGATAGAGACATAATCAAAACGAGCTTAAACTCAACAATCTTAGCAATGTGTAAAGCATTAGTAAGCAATAAGGATTATGCTGTTCTATGATCATGGTGGAGTCCTATGAAAAGAAAACTATATCTAATAGTATTTGCTATGACAACCACATATGTGGTTGTTTGAAAAGAATAAAAGATGGATTATTTTTGAATATTTATCTAGTGCAGGTTTGTTTTAAGTTAATGTGGTGCTCCTTTTAGATTTAAAGAAGGTTAATAAACCAGATTGTAAAATATGGTTTTATTTTGAATGCTAAGTATACTCAGAGGAGCAATGTATAGTTAAGCCTCGAAATATTAATGCCCTACACCCCTGCTAGATTTATGTATAAAGTAATCTTCTAATTCAAGAAATGTTGTGTTGGAGTTTCCTAGGCAATGCTAAGGATGCTTTACAACATAATTTCATCAAACCATTGGAAACATACAAAAGTTTTAAAAATGATTAATGTAAGACAAAATATATATATTTTTTAATTAGTTATTTGTATCTTTAAAGTAAAGATTAATTACTTAGAACCTAACTGTGCATAACCTCAAAACGGAAGTATGAAGACAGCACAAGACATGTAGGTATTTTTACCTTTCTCAACATTATTTAGAAAATAATACATTTGGATAAGCCTTATTTGAAAATAAAAGCTCAATTGGACTTTTAGGTGTTAATCCAAATGCTCGTTATGTGCTATGAATGCCTAACAATTTATGTCATCTCTTCCCCCTAGGTAAAAACACTAAAATCAAATACATATACGATTTATATATATACATATATATATATATATATATATATATATATATATATATATATATATATATATATATATATATATATATATATATATATATATATAAAACTATTTCAGTTCTCTTTACATTAAACAAACATGCTGTCATACAGTGCAAATGTAAACCAGTTTGAGGTTGAATTTGTTGTCTGTGCAAATAAACTTGCTAAATCTGAAACTAAATCTGACCCTGATTTTATGTTTTTTTTTTTTGTATGTGAAGACAGTTCTACATACACTACAAGCTGACTACAATGGCTTTCATATGTTCGAATGTCTGCTGTTATGCAAATTTTTTATCTGTCCGTGTGTGTGTGTGTGCTGTTTGGGAGGGCTGCTCTCTCCACTACCCTCAGTGGTGGCTAGGGGGTGCAATGTGGACATGGTGTGTGTATGTTTAAGAGTGAAAGAGAGAGAGAAAAGAAGGGGAGAGAGAGTTAGTGTGTGTGTGTGCCTCTGTAATGTATTCCTGCCTGTGGCTGGGCTGGTCACATGGGGAGAGCAGCCTGTTTAAAACAGCATCGACTCTTTCAGTCAGAGCAGTGCAAGGCACAGAGACAGGCACATACGCTCTCTCTGTCTTGCTCCACGCACACACTGACACATGCTCACGCCTGCAGAAGGCAACTTCCCTTTATCGGACTGACACTACACACTCGCCGGGATAGCACACTCCCATTCCCCACTGGAGAAGAGGAGTGACAGATCAGGAAATAAAGAAAATACAGAAAAAGCAAACGCTTCCCTGTGAGTAACTCATTTTAATTGTCATCTTGTAATGCTTGCATTATTTTGGGGGGAACTTTGCTCCACTTCAGCAGTTTTTGGCTGAGATCCTGACAAAGACTGAGAGGGAAAGTTAGTTTGATTGAAGGAAGTGAGGGGAGATCCAAGGAAGATGATAGAATGCTGATAGAAGTCAGCAGAGATGTGCTGCTACAGTAACCCCGGACTACCTCCTCATCACTCTCTCCTTCTGTCTGTTGTCTCTAATGAGGTTAATTAGCAGTGTGCGATTGGAATGACAGGAATGCCTTTTCACTGAGCTGGAGTAGAGTCTGCTTTGGACTCTTGCGCTTTGTTGTACATGTGTGTTCTGTCCTTTGCATGCTGGATGCAGAATCCTACTCTGTCAGGATGATGTTGGGCAGATTTGCTAAAACCTATAGCAATCGAGATGGAAGTGGATAGCCTGCCCAATGGATAATGAGACGAAAGCACGTCCCTCAGGTCCCTCTGTATTCTATATCCTTTATTTCTTTCCATTGTTCTTATCTCTCTTTCTTCCCTCACTGTTCAGTCTTTTTTGTTTTGTTTGCTCCTTCTCTGATCTTCCCCTGACATGCTGTCCAGTTTCTTACTCTTCGTTCCTGTTTCTGTAATAGCATTAACTTCCCTCCCCTCTCTTCAGCCACTTTCAATTTGTCTGTGTTGCCAAAGCTGTAAGTGGTCTTTTTTTTTTTCTTCAACAAACTAGCTCTTACATGCTGATGTAGTTGGTGTAGATTGACCAGAACGGAGAAGCTTGCGGAGCTGTGAGGAGGGCAGGAGGGGTAGGGAGTGAGGGGGAGAAGAAAGAGAGAGAAATGACAGAGAAAGTGGAAGGAGGGGAGGGCTGGGGTGGGGGGCATTGAAAAGGCTGACACTGGCTCGGACAATTAGCCCAGGGAGTCCGTCCTGGGGTGCTATTCTGAGAGAAGCTTTGGCCCCTCGGCCCTGGGCACTGGGTCACGGGATGCCTTGACCCTTCCAGTTGACGGCTAGGCATGGGAGCCATTATCACAGCCTGATTGATTAGCAGTGAGCGGAAATCCCTTTTCTCTTCACTCCTTGGGAGAAAAAAAATTGAAATTTTTTTGTCTTTTTACTATTTCTGGTTTGGTGTTTTTGTTGTCTTAATATTGAAATCTTTCATAAATGTTTCTTTTTCTTCTTCAACTACTGTTACTTGTTGATTTTCACTTTCTACTACCCTGAAAAGGTAGTTGGACAACATATTAAGTCATTAATTCAGGTTGTGACAAAGAGTCACAAACGATTACTTAAATGCAAAATGTGGATAACCTTGCGCTGACTTTTATCTTTATGATATGATCTTAGTGACAAAGTTGCTAGAGTGAACTGTAATTTTGCACTTTTATTTAAAAAAAAAGTGTAATTTTAGTTTCTAATGTCCAGCCATCTCAGCTTGCTTTGTTTTCACATTAGAAGCTTCCCTCATCTTCTTCAAGCTTCTGTGCATTTGCAGAGATTTGTTAATGATTAGTATTCAGATGTGGCACGTTTGATAACAGGGAAGGAGAAAAACACTGTTTGAATGCACAGTTCAGAGAGTGTAGTGATGGAAACAAGATTCCCCCCCCCAAAAAAACGGAAAAAAAGCAAGGGTATTGTTAAACAGGTCCCTAAATTTACATCTTAGTGTTTCCCTTTTCTTGTTCACAAGTTTTAATCTCCTTGGTCCCTTTTCTCTCTGACGCCAACTACTGTTGCTTTTCTCTAAACATGCACCCCACTCCACCCCCGTTCTCACCTCCCCTTCCTCAGACTTGGGGTTTAGTGGGGTGTTTAGCCCAGCTCACGGGTGATCAAAGCGGTGTGTGTCAGACTGGGCTTAGCCCCAGTGCTCCTAATGGAGCACCGTTTTCATGCCTAGTTGGTGGTGGAGTCGGGGGGGATTGATAGGAGGGTTGAAGGGACAGGGGAAAGAAAAGGAGGAGGGTGTGCAAGTAGAAAGACTGACAGAAAGAGTTCGGGGAGGGAGGGAAAGCCAGACAGGAAGACAAGCAGAAGAGAGGGAGACATTTTAAAGTGGCACTGGGAAGAATATTACATAGGACAGGCAAATGGATGGTAATGAGGAATCGGCAGAAGGTGAAAAAGTTAGAAAAAAAAAACCAAATGCACATAGAAGTACATGCTGAAAGATGAGCACTCAGGGTGACAGACTGCATGTGACCGGAAAAACAAGCAGAATGTGTTTCCAGTCTGGATCTATTGCTCGGTGTGCATCTCCAGCCAGCGCTGCTTTGGAAGCATCAGTTAAAGGGATGAGACAGGTGTGTGCATGTGCAATGCATAGTGTGAGTAACACAGACCCCACCCCCCCAAAATGGATGTGCTTCTGGGTATATGAGGAGCATCTGTGTGCCCATATGTTTGTATACCAAGCAGCACACAAAGATGCCTGTAAACTGTACGGTATATTGATTTTTCAGACTGCTAAAAGCAGTCTAGACATTTTGGCATTGATTCTAAATTTGTTTTTGCTTTTCTTTGTTTTGTTTTTTTATTATCCCAAAAGTTTCGGTTATGCAAAGAAAAAAATATCCAGAAAACAAACAAAATAAAAGTTTTTTTAATTATAGTATTAAAAAAAAAAAGACTTGGGAACTGATTTTCAAGACCTTAAATGAAGAACAGCAATAATAAAATATACACAACACTTTTAAACCAGTTTATCTTTCTGTTGCATGTCAGATTTTTACCTTATTGTAACAATGGATAGAGTAGTTGTCTTGTGGGCTCCACCATTGTCTCCTGCCACATGTCAATTTACCATGGAGGGACCCAAATTTGCATACAGTGATCTGTGAACTGCAATGTGTGTTTTTCTCCCAGATTGCAACACAGGCTGCATCCATCCTCCTATTAGCTCTAACAAGCTTCAGGCTGCCTTTATGACAATGTGTACATATGACAAACATTCCCCAACACACGTCTAAGAACAGGGCTGATCAGAGTAGGAGAAGGGAGTCCATAATCCAATTCTTTTGTACAGACAAAGGCAACAAATATAGATGGGGTCAAAAAAGTTTCTAAGCCTTACATCAGAACACCTTTTTCAGAATACACCATCCATCCATGTGGCCGTCCATGGATCGATTGATACATCCATCCGTCCGTCTGTCTGTCCATCCACCATCCATACATACATACATACTTCCATACATTTATCGGTTTCTATTTAGCTGGCAGGGAGTATTTCAATGAAATTAATTATCACAAACCTCTAAACATCATCCTAATGTTAAGCCAAGTAAATATCTCAGTATCAAAATGGCAAACCACTGTCAAGCGAGTGATTTAGAAACTACTGAAGACCTGTAATTGTCTGTCTTAATGGATGGTTAATGGATAGGATGGTTTTTCTGCTGTAAGGTTAAACATTTTGGTCATTTTGATTACTGAGCTTTAACTCGCATTGTTTCTGATCAAAAGTTAATATATTTTACTCTAACATCAGTTTGGATTTAGCTAAAGGAATCTCTAATCTGATTTAAGTGAAGTATGTTGACACTGATTTTAAGTGGCCTTGATATTTTTCCATTAGCTTTATAACTAAGATGATGGTGTTTATAAGATTGATATCAATTCATCACAGTACTAGAATCCATCTGCCCAAATATTCTGTCTATAATATGATTCAGAAACCAATGATAAAGTATAACATGATATATCCACTCACCATCTTGGATGAATTAAACTAATAAGAAAGTTACTACATGTAGACTGAATAGCTGAAGTAATTCAAATTAACTTCCATTAAAAAAATAAAAAATAAAAAATGCTTCTTTGGTTTAAATATTTTTTGCAATTTATTGACTTTAACCTCACTAGCTTTCACCTTTCTTTAATGATAAGTGAATGTTCATTTTAGGCTGAAAACACCACTTTGGTAAAGTCAATATATTTTCTTCTGTCTGATATGACAAGATATCTTTGATGAGCGCATTTTCCTGCAAATTGACACAAAACAGAGACATTTTACGTGCCTCCCTGGAAACAAATGCAGGTGAGAGCTTTGGATGCGAAAAGGCCTCAAAACAGAGAGACATTAAAAAGCCAACAATCCTCTCTGGTGAAGCGCAGCTCCCACGCTTTTTCTACCTTATTCTCTCTGTGTCTTTGGTTAGAAATGCCACTCGCTGTGTGCTTACATCTAACTGCACCCGAAGGTGTGAAAACATGACACGATTTGTTAAAATTTGGCCCCAATTAGGCTGCCTCACACACATTTCCAACATATATACTTTGTAACCCTTCGTCTATAAACTCTAAGCTCTTGAAAGTGCTTAAAGCGAGGCTTTGTAATTATTTCAGCTATCTGTAGGACCCCACACACAGAATTATTTAAACATTAAACATATTATAACATGAAAAATAATATTTGTGTCATTACTTATGGTTTAATGTACTGTATAACAATAAATTATTGCCATGATCCACCAAGATCCCAAATGAGGGCTAAATTACTTGTGCAAAGAAAAATCTGCACATGAAGTTGGTGACAAAAACTAAGATTTAATGAATAATTGACGACAGGTGCAAAATGGGAGGGATCACTCTATTTAAATGATGCTTTGGTGTTTGCTGCTTGCTTTCATTTTGAAAGGGTAAGAGAGAAGAGCAACACTGCGCACAGATGGCAGGTAAGATCGCTTTGTGGATAAGGTGCATGCAGAGGAGAATAGAAAGTATCTATTCTGTTTGTGTGAAATGTAAAAATTATCAAAACCTTTTCCTAGAAGACTACTTTTCCTAGAAGACAGAAACACAGCTGAATGGCTTCTGGAAGTTTATTTTCATATGAAATATGTGTTTTACTTTTTAAATTTCCCAAAAAATATTTAGCTAAATATTAAAGATATTAGATATTAAGAAGCTTATCAAAAACACCCCACTGCCCCACAATATGACATTTATCTTGACCTTTTTTTCAATTCTTTTGAATTCTTCAAGTTCTG